GCTTTACTCCCTGCTGCTGTCCTCTCCCTGGGTTTTCTTCCCTCAACAGCTCAGAGGAGAGCATTTTCCTTGTACTTGCAAGCTGCTCTGACCAATCCATTCTTGAACATTTCTATATTGTTAACATTATCCATGTTGTTAACATTACACATGTCCAAGGACATACTGAGCTGCCGCCTGCCTCTGAGTAATCATCTCCATTCATGCTGAAGGTTTCCATTACTAGCTATCTTCAGTGTCCCAATCTGACACCAGCATGTGTAGATACTAAAATACTATAAAAGATAACTCTAAACATGTCTTCTAATTCCAGCAAGATACATTTATTTGGGAAGAGAGCATGGAGAACAGTAAATATTTTCCTATTTAGGACATGTGATTGCTCATGATGAACCTGAAATTCTCAGTCTGATCCTAGCTTGTCACTGAGTTTAGTCACTCCAGTACCTGGGCAGCATGGTTAGTGTATTTGTGCTAGAGGAGCTGTACCTGTTAGTATTGCTTCAGGTGGGCTCTGAAATTATATTTGCTGTCTTCAGGAGAAGCACTGGTTCATGCAGTCGGCGACAGCATTGTTTCTTTACAGAAAACTGCCAACTGTCTGCCACTGACATCAGAAGGAAGGGAAGAACATATTGATTGAGCAAAGGAGAAATATGCCCACAGACTTAAAATTATATCATAAAAAATAAAAATAAAAAATAAAAAAAGAGCAAATAGTGTTTCAAAGTAACAACGAAAACAACAATAACAAAACCCAGAATAGAAGAGAAAGCCAAGTTTGCACCTCGTATTTTTTAAGCACTGCTGATTTGGAAGCCAACCATGAATGCCAATAGTTGCTTATGCACTGTACATGCTGTACTCCAAAAGCATATCCGCTACGGCAGGCCAACCAGAAGGGAAAGCATGGAATTTTCCTTTGAAATGGAAAAGGTCTCATTGCTCACAAGCATTTTGCTCTCAGGTTAACTCCTTTGTTTCCTCTCTGTGTAAGGCTGGCCCTACATCTGAGCAGTCTTGTAAAAGCACCTCTGTCATTGCATTCAAAGGTCTGGAATTAGTCTCTAGTGTTTAGTCACTGCAATAGTATAGTTGTCTTTATTTACTTTTCATTTTCTCAGTTACTACTGCCAAGTCTTCTCACCTTTGCTGCGGACTTCTGTTTTTTGTATGTTTGGTTTGTTTTTGGTTTTGTTTTATTTTTCCTCATCTGATATTGCTGCTGTTGCTGTTCCATGGTGATAAATGAACTGAAGGCAGACACAAGCTGATGCATAGCCTGCTCTGCTGCCTAGGGACCCTGCCACTGGGGAAGGCATAGGTACATATGAAACAGTTGTTGTGGGAAGCTGTGCACAAATTCTGTAACAGAAAAAATAATAATCCATATTTAGGGCACCAAAGCATGTTACTGAGAAAATAACAGCATCTTTCATGTTACATTGGCTGATGCAGAAGACTAGGGCTCTCTGTCAAGAGCAGACAGAGAACAGCAAGGACTTTCATATCTGGGGAACGGGATCGTGTTCTTCTGTGGCCTGAGTTTGGTTATCCCAGCTTTTTGGACGAACTCTTGTCTGTGAGGAGAGAAACTGGGATAGAAAACACAGACATGGCACTCTTTAACCCCATAAAATAGAAGAACAACGCCACAACAAAACCACTGTGTTTAGGGAACAGAAACTATAAAGGAGATTCTGGAAATAATCCAAGCCAGATCTCAGTAGGAAGACATGGATGCTCAGAAACAGAAAAAAGAAGCATTAACAGATGTTTGCCTCCAAAATGGGATAACCATAAGTACTGACTATTGCATAATTTGGTAATGTGGATATGATTATAAATGGTTTTATTATTTTCTTTCATTATTTTATTTATTAGTCATGTTTATTGCAGGAAAGCTCTAACTACTTTTTTAGCACAGAGGGAAGTCTGTACAATCTTTCATTGTGTCTCCTGTGCTTTTGCATACTTTCACCTATGTTCATTCTGTGACTAAATAGTTTTGTTATGTTTAAGCATTCAGCCACAGGTACTATGGCATCCTAGAAAATAATTGCATGTTGTGGAGGAGTGCTACTGATGTATATTATTGTATATGTTTCCATGCCCCATACCCTGAGAAAGGAAGGAAACCATACACTTTCATGGCATGAAAATAGAGCAAGGTATTATGCCTGTAAAGGTAACACATTTTCCTCATGTATTTGAGGGCCAGGACACCCACACATTTGGCATGTTGCCACATACAGTTGGGTAAGGTAACGTCACATGCACAGCAGGCTGTTCTTATCCTCCATCTGTTCTAAGTCATGCAGATTCAGGTTGTGTGTCCCTCAAAAGTCCACTTTTCCAGCACCATCCAGTCTGTAACAAACAGAAGCAAGGATGTCCCAATGCACAAATTCTTTAATACTTGAGCTGTAAATGCAATGGAGTGAGGTGGGCTTGCATTGGTGCTCAATTCACTTACAGCAAAGCATGAGGCTTTGGGCAACAGCATAATCTCTTGCACCTTGAAAAGTGTGTGGGCGGCTGCTTGTTCAACTTAATGTGTGAGGTGTTCAACTGCTGTATTTGAACAAGGCTTCAGCCCAGTCATGCTGGATCTTAACCTGGGGGATTTAGGCAGCCTACCAGAATGGTCTGCATTTCTCTGAGCACATCTAGTTTATGTACGTACTCTTAAAGTATTTATTATGTTCCAAGTCCCTATAACAAGCTCATACCGGTTACAATAGCTTTTGCACTGGGACTAAGTTATACATAAGTGGGGGTAAGGCTTAATATAGTGAACAATAGAAAAAAAACACATAGTGTTCCAACAAAAATACCATTTTCTGTGTGTTGTAGTAATTTCTTTAACTGCCAGGACAGTGAATGTTGCTTGGAGATAAAAATTAATGCATCATCACTCTCCTTCTAATGAAAAACAATAGATTGAGGTACACTGAAAACAACTTCTCTTCTCTCAGCATTCACAGAAGTAAATCAACTAAAAGCTGTTACATTCAGTGGTCAATGTCTTTCATAGCAGTTCCATAACGTGTCATGTGCATATTGTGTGATTGTAGCATGTGGCTATGAAGAAGCTATTGTAGCATAAATAGACAAGGGAGGAGAATTAAAATTTAATTTTAAGGATCTTTAATTTAATTTAATTTTAAGTATCTTTAGGGATCTCAGGCAGATTATGATTTCACTTATACTGGTGTAAATATAGAGTCACTTCGCCTAATCGCAGATTTACAGCACTGTAACTGGAACAAAAATGAGGCCTCTTGTAGCTGTGTTTTCTAACTTCTGTGAAATTCTGGTCTGAATCTTGACAGTGGTTAGCATAGTTGCTTCCATTTATATCTTCAATATTTCTTTCAGATTTCTATTGTCTTCCCTTTTTCTTCACTTTCTGTGCAGCTGTCATCATAGCATTTCAACTCCAGTTAGAAGAGCAAGGCAGATGTCTCCCAACAGAGGCTCTGCCAACATCACTCCAATGACAGCTGCGGGAGCAGTGCTGTGATAACAGCATGACCACCAACGTCAACAGACAATGACCACATCACATCTGCAAAGCCTTTCAGCTTCCACTGGCTTAGGGCCTACAGTCTCAAATCACTTTATACTTGAGTCTCTAAGCTGGCAGCACTTAATACTACTCAGTTCTCCAGAATGTTAGACACATTTAGGTCTATTTTGTTGTTGGTTTTTGTTTCCTTTAAATCTGAATTCTCACAATGAAATTTAATCATGGGTTGAGAAGGACTTTTAAACATTCCTTTTCCTGAGATTCCCCCCAAGGCCTTGTTGTATCAGAAAATCCAATTGGAAGTGCCAAAATGTCACTACGAACCACAACCTTCAAATCTGAAACATGGAAATTAATATGACATTATAAAGACTAAGGGAATTATATCAATATTTACTCAAAGAAGAGAAATTTTAAAGCTAACAAATACCAATATGTTGTAAAAGTTTACCTGAAATCACAACTTAGCTTGTTAGTGTATTTTGGTCTTGTGTTTATGTTGTGTATACTTGTTTATGTGTAGTTTTAAAATGTACCAAGGAAGATATTCACTAGTGAAAAGAAAGACAATTGACAAGAGATTATTTGATGCTTGTTATGGAAGCAACCTCATAAATCCAGTGATATTTCCACATGCTCCTTTTCTATGCCAGGGTCTGTGTAGGGATTTTGTCTGTGATAAAATATTCTGTGAAGTGAATTTCTAATTTAGGACCAAATCTTCCTCTCACATCATCAAACAGAACTGTAGCTCACAGCCCATGCAGATGCTTCTGCTGTACCATGTGTTAGGAAGGTAAGATTAGTACCAAAATCTTCATCCTTTCCACATCTACAGGCAAAGCTTGCAGATTACTGAAGAGTCTTTATTTGTTGATTACACTAAACATGGAATGGTCACTCAGATTTTTGAGCAAGAAGGACTTTCAGCAGGTATGCAAGTATAGTTGCTATAAAGTAATGAATGTGATGTCCATTTTTCTCTCCACAGCTGGAGAGTGTGAGAAGTGCAGCCCAGGAATGTCACAATTCAATTAAGCTGTTAAATTGGGCAGAAAAGATGTCCCATTCCCTCTCTACAGCTGATAGTTGTGATAACCTTTATCAGTCAGCAGACAGACCCAGCTCTAAGTTATAATGTGCAAATAGAAAGCAAACCCATTTTTTCCTCAGAGGTGTTCCTTACTCAGTTTGCTACAAAGGCACTTGGTCCCGAATAATTAAAAACACTCATTGTTCTACATAAAACTAGAACATAGACTTAAATAGAAGAAGATTATGCTAATACATCTGAAATCAAACATGTTGCAAATTACTGATTGCGTCCTGAATATGAGGTAATGCTTGTAATTGACTACACTGGACTTTGATGAGTAACATTGGGTTAACCACATGCACCACTTTTACAACAAATGTTACCATACTTGGAGTTATCTAGAGCACTCAGCCCCTTCCAGAAGGTAGTTCCTGCAGCTGCAGCATTTCCTTACTTTTCTGGACTGTTGGGTATATCTGATTCAGAAGGGAATGTAAGGTGCTCCCTGAGGATTGCCACAGGTGTTGCCTCTTGCAACATTTTCATATCGGAGGTTGTGGGAAGTTAGAACTTGTGGAACTTGTAATATCTGATAACAGACTTTGGTCCTATTTCAGGAAATCATCCCAGTGCAAAGAAGCTTATTAAGATATGCTTCAGCTCTGCAGAAGACAGTGAAAACTATGCACATTCTCAAAGTTAAGCATGTGCTTTCCTGAGAATCTCACAGTGTAATTTGGTATGTCCGCAGGTACAAGCTTAGACAAGAAGGTGTTTGCAGAAGCTGGAGAAGACAGGTTGTGTCCATCTTGCTGCTTTGTGCCATACACAAGGTAAGAGTTTTCTTCCAAAAAGAGACATTCTAAAGAGGAAGGTTTGGGACTTTTATTTGTTATATTTTTAAAGGGAAAAGTCTGATCTTGATTGCCCTAAAAAATTGTGATTCGTTTGTAATGCAAGCAACCAGGCAAGTGAAATGCACTTAATTGAAAGAGGAAATCATTTTAGTCAGCTTCAAATTCTTTTTGCTTCAAATGCTTATTCAGCTCAAATGTTTGTACGAAAAGATGCTCTGGTGAAAAATTGAACCCTATGATTAATGACCAAAATCTTCCCATCCACACCCATTCATCTAAGCCATCCAAGAAATCTTTCAAAAACAAAAAAGATTTATTTGAGGTCTTTAAGTACACAGCAGGCAGGAAAAAAAAAAAATTAAACACAGGTACTTGTGTAGCTTTTATTTCATAAAGAAATGAAAAGTGGCACTAGTATATGTGTGTGTGTTTTTCCCCCCATACAACAACTTATATTCTGTTATTAAAGACTTGCTTGGATATCCCCACTTTGCTATGCATGATATTTTTAGCATTACCTGAGCTTTCTTCTTAGGTCCATTTCATTTGCCAGACATTCCAGCTAAAGAAACGCTTTGGACCTCAGAGGGTAGACACCAACAGTCCAATGGCAAAAGACTGCTGTTAGGCTTTCAGGAGCAGCTTTTTTTGATTACTGTACTCAATACGGCTGTTATACGTCCTATAAACAGCTAATGCCAAATATCCAAGACAGGAATTTGGCCTTGTCTAAATGTGGGATTTTGACTGTGAGTGCTTTCATTCAGAATGAGGTTGCCCTATTTCTAAATAATGCACTTTTAAAATCTATGTTATTTCACAATTGAGCACTGTTATTCTAAAATTATAGCACTCATGAAGACGTAAACTACCATAACTGGAAGCATAATATATGAGCCATTTTGTTATTTTGGTTCCACTTAATCATGTAGGCAGATCCTTATATTCGTGTAAAACTGGTTATTTCAGCTTATTTTGTAACTGTGAATTTCCCTGCTGCCCTATTTTCTCTCTCAGAAGATGGGTTCTTTGTATGAGAACTGAGCTGATTGGTGCAAAACCAAGGACAGACAAACGATAGCCCTATGCACTCTCCAAATCTATTTCTGATCAAAACAGAGTTAGGGTACAGGCTAACTAGATGTGTGCTAACTCATCCTTAAAATAAAGAATCCATTTTTTCAAAGCCCCATGAAACTAGCCCTGATGAGACTAGAAATACACTGATTTTCTACTGTTCTTCCAACCTTGTACTATGTCCCTGTTCAATTTGAAAGCACTTCTTTTTTTACAGAATACCAATCCAACTCAAAATTCATAGGATGAGAGACCATTACAGAAGGCAATATACACATTACTAAAGCTTTAGGAGGGAATGTCAAAATCATAATAACAATAAATTAACTCACATGGCTGTTACTGAATTCAACATTCCAAGTGCTAAGCAGGACAATGTATCATTTTCCACAAGCTATTTCCTCGCCTAGCCACTGAATTAAAAAGAGCTACTCAGTCTTTGGCTCCCAGAAATAATATGACAAATAAAAATGGATAGCTTCAAAGATAAATTATAAAAATTATAAATTGAAGTCAAGCAAAGCAAATGCTCAGGTGTACCCACTAGACACTTATAGCCAAATATTGTATATAAAGATGATCTCCAAGAATATTTAGTTGTTGTTACCCCAAATATAGGCATTCAGAGTCTTCACATAGATGCCTCTTTACCAGGAGGCATATAAAATATATAGGTGCCCAAGTTTTCATCGGTGATATTTACTATGTGGCTAAATGAATGAAATTGGGAAGCTTGATGCCTGACCATTGTATTTCTCAAGTAAGGTATTCCCACCCTTGGCTTGCATCCAAAATCCAGTCCAGAAAACAACTTGAATACAGACATGTTGGATTGGGCCATGTGGGAAGCATGGCTGGAGAGCTCTCATCACTCTCTCTATAGCTAAAGAATTCAACTAAAATACGGAAAATACAACTCCTTTTATTCATTCCTCTGTCTTTTGAATGGATATTTCACCCCTTCCAGAGTCACGTTTTAACTTAAGGTATAGTTTGCTTTCCTGAGTGAAAGCATTCAACTTCCGTTCGTTCTATACTTTTCCAGTGTGCACAAAATATTTGCAAAATATTTGTCAAAACTGAAAGAGAGCAGGGAAGGAGAAGAAATATGAAAACTGATGTGATAATATAGCTCAGCAGTGAGCTCTCTCACCTAAGTAAAGAGAGTCCTGAATCCCAGTCCCTGCTCTCATGATTACTTAATATGGGATACTTAAAATTTCATTGACACAGGCACTGAGGCCTCTTCTCTCTTAGCCGAGTGCCTGGAATGCAAGGTAATAAAGTATTGCTCTCTCTTTTGCCTAATGAATATTTAATTATTCCCAGTGAAGTAAAGCAGCTTCAACAAGAGGAATTATGGTTCTTTTTCTGTGCTCTAACTAACCACTGAGCTATTGGTTAAAACTGGGCTTCTATCTATCCCTCTGATTAGTGTGTGTGAGCCCAGCCATGCATTCAAGGCAGTAAACACCAAGAGAAAGGGAGTTTCTTATTATATCCTGAAAGTAGGCATCCAGGTCCTTCAGAGAACTTAGTCTCCATACTCTTACTGACGCTGCTGTTGTTGTCGACACTGTTGGTTTCCTGCTCAGAGTGTTCTGTGTCTTTGAGCCCTGAAGTGTAGCATCTCACTCAGAGCTGGGGCATGACATCTGTGAGTCAGGTACAAGAACATTCAGTGTGGGGCTGCCCCTGTCCTTCAGGGAACTAGTTCATAATTTCCACTCACCCTCAAACAAAACAGACAGGAAATACAAGGGCCATGTGCATGCAGAGTAGGCAGTGTTAAATGGGAAAATACAACTGGGGAGGAAACAACCATAGGACCAATTGCTTGGGTTAATTTCCTTGCTTCCGTCCCTTAGTGCCTGAAAATCCACGTAATCTTCTCAGTCAGATGGTTGTTTTGCTGAGACAGAGGTGTTCCCAAGTAGGGCAGCTCTTACATGTGCGGACACTGTGTTGCCTTCTGATCTACCCACTGCTCATTAGTTTTCTGTAGGCCCCAGCTGGTGGCCCTTTGAGACCTGTATCCAGCTCACAGACATACTGAATTGCTCTCAGCTAGTGTGGGTCTGTCATACAACCAATATGCAGATCAGCGACCCTGCAAAGTGTCCTTTGCAATAACTACAGATAGGGTCTGGCTCACAGAGCTGAAACCAACATGAGTGGACTCAGCAAGAGACATCTTGGGATCAGCTGTTCATTTGGGGAGGAATGGGATTTTGAAATCAGACATTGTCTCCTTAAAGAGAAGAACTGCACTGTGGAAAAAAAAAAAAAAAAAAAAAAAAAGGCATCAGATTTGTGTATTTTTCAGGAAAACCAAAAACATCTGTACCTGAACCTAAACAGTAATCTTCAAATTACTCAGGGACCAAAAACCAGCTAAAAGACAGCTGGCTGAAAGAAGGCACTTTACCCAGAGGATACCCACCAATTTTCAGCATTCTCTGATGTCAACTTGACACAGGTCTTTCATAAATGGCTGACTTCCAAGTGTGATAGTTTGGCAAGAAACATGTCTTCTGGGAGTGAAATCAGTGTGGAAAAACTGCAGAAGATTGAAACACTGACTTGGCTGACAACATGGGCTCAGGCCACTGAGCCATAAACTGCAGACAGGGCAGACTCCTAGCTACCTAACTCTTCAATAGTATCTGTTCTTACATATGTTTTATCAAGTTTAGTATACTAGTCTGTTGTCATACAATCTAATTTCTGTATTTATTTCACTGCTGAACTGTGTGTGAAAAGATGATAACTTATTTTATTTCTGTTCAGTTAGTACTCACTACTGCTGACATGAAGGTCACCAGATACGGACGTTGTAGGTGACTTCTGCAGATTTGATCCAATGGATAGGTTTATTTATCCATTAGTTCAAAGCTTTATTTCTAACTCATTGTTCTGAGAAAAGATGTTTCTCAGACCTTGAGGCACTGGTAGGACCTCAGTATAATTGGAATATATTCTATTGTACTCTTATTCTCTCTTTGCTCTTTATTCTTTACCTTAGTTTACAGATGGTGTTTGATAGGGTGTTTATTAAATTATCAAAACGAAGGATCTGGGGTTTTTAAGTTTTGTGGGTTGTTGTTGTTGTTTTTTTGTTTGTTTGTTTTTGTTTTTTTTTTATGCTTTACATGGTATAGGTAAATTGCAGTTAAAGGATTGGACTTGACTCAGTGGTTCACGATTCAGTCTCTGCCTCTTTCACACATTCTCTGATTCACAAGTAACTCACTTTCATGCTGTGATTTCCTCCTCTGGTAAGATGGAAATAATAATAGACAGAGGAAAAGCAAAACTATCCAATTATGCTGTTATTCTTCAGGATGAGGTTTGCCTTTAACTGTGTACTTGCATAGTTCTTTGCAGAATGGGATCCCGATTGCTACAGTAAGTAATAATTTTAAGCTGTAGGGTTTTTTATTTTCCACCATTGGCATGATTCACTGTGAGACTTACAAATTTACTATTTATTCTATGCTGCTTGAATAAAGAGCACTGTAATTACAGAGCAGCAAAATTTTCATGCCACTTAATTGATAAGGCTACAAATACTCAGCAACAAGTGAGGAATACATTTGCATTACAGTTATTAATATGCAGCACTAATGATAACAATACTGAAGAATACCTTACATTTATATAACATCCTTCATCGCAAAGGGAATGAAGTTCCCAAGTGACACACAAAACAGAAACAGAAATGTTTCCCACCACACCTTAAGTAAAAAACATACTAGTATGAAAGGAAAGAGCAATCAGAAGGAAAGTTTGAAATAAACAGAACAGAAGAGTTATCCATTTCTGCAGGTAAGTATTTTGTACTTATGAAATAGTACTCCCAAAAGAGCTTTGGTGAGTTACTCTAGCTCAATGACCAG